AAGGCCCATAACAACGTGCTGCCACATGGGGCTAATGCACTGAGGGTGAGGAGTAGATTTAAGCCGCTACATTTTTTTCCACAAATTTTTTTTCCCCATATTGAATGTGTTTTCATCTTTGATGCTTTATTTCAAAAATGGCTTTCTGTTCGTGTATGACTAATATTTTTTCCCTGTACAGATTAAGAATTTGGCCTCATGGCTGCATCTGTCATCAGTGGTGACCAGTGAGTTTGGGCAGACAGCCGAGTCTTGGTAGATTTGCATTTGTGCCATGCTATTTCCATTCCCAGATGATGGATTGACCAGTATTTTATGCGGTATGGTGACTTTTTAGTCTGACTTTTTGAATGTACAAAATCATTTATCATTTTGCTTTCACTTTACTGTCGGTTACTTTGTCTAGTAGTCTTACATAAAAACACAAAAAATGAAATCTTGAAAAAATGTGCAATAATAATAAGATATCGGATTTAAATTTGTTTGGACACTCAGAGCCACCCCACTGTGGCACCTGTAGCTCTCAGAAGTCTCCCATCACAGTACTAACCAAGCCCTGTCCTACATACTTTCAGAGGTCTGACGGCATCTATCTTACACATGCAAGTATGGCCACCAAAGTGAACATTTCCAAGCTGTTTCAACACTTTTGCAAGGCACCGTATTTCCATCTGAAGCTGAAAAAAAGAACTAATACTTAACATTATTTTTTGATCAATACTTTTGGGCGGAGGGTAAATATCCCAGCTCTAAAGATGATAATAGATGACTCCACAGCTGCAATGAACTAGCTCTTCTATCATTACTACATAAGCAACGCAATGATAAGACACTGGCTCTCGCTCAGACGACCACAGCAGCGTCACCAGGCCTCTGATGCTGCAGCTGGACCACTTCCTGTCTGGAGCCATCTCCAAACCATCAAAGCCTCTCGTCCACATTACAGCAATTACATTTTCCAATCAGCTTTTTTCCAAATAAAGCCTGCTCCTGATTCTTTTTTAATCACGCTGCTGGTTTTGAAGTCGTGGGCTTAACGGCGTTCAACTGTTTGTCTTTTGACTTTTACAAGGCATTAGGTTTCGTCTTAATTATGTGTGACATGTGATGACGTTGATGAAAGCAGGATGTGGACAAGAGACGAGTGGAGGAGCGGTCTCTTATCGTATCAGCTGAATCCCATGTCACACAAACACATGCTGAATCATGGGATATCCAGTCTATAGAGGTTAGATCAGTTTACATGACTGACGGATATATTCCTAGTTTTTCAAATACTAGGCTGGACTACTGCTCCTGACAGAGGCCCGAGTGGCATTGCATGATGGGTCAAATGCAGAGGACACATTTCCCCACGGGGCCAATAAAGTAAGTAAGTAAGTAACCTTTATATATATATACCGCCTTTCACAGACCAGAGTCACAAAGCGCTTTACAATTGTTATTTTTTGGGAATTTGTCTCTCACTCCACACAGAGATGGGAGCATGCCAGACCTACTACTAAAAACATAATAGGGGAAACCGGAGTACCCGGAGGAAACCTACGCAGACACAAGGAGAACATGCAAACTCCACTCAGAAAGGCCCTGTTCCGACTGGGATTCAAACCCAGGACCTTTTTGATGAGAAGCGAGAGTGATTAACTGTTTAAGCAATTTTTGTGTCCCACTTTGTGATAAAAATATAATTCTGTTTGAGTTTTTTTTAATCACTTTAACCAGCTGAACTGCTGATTATACAAAAAGGTGGATCTTCCACAAGATTTGGCCCTTGTGAAAAATAAGTTGAAAAGGTCAGAAACCTGTCCAGGAAACAGAGAAATGAGCCCCTTTCTAAAATCTAACATATTTATATCTGTGGCATATATTCTTTCAACTGTATCTTTTATTAAACATAAACAAATAAATGTTTTCTTAACCTTAGAGCTAGAGCAGGGGTGTCAAACTTATTTAGGTTGAGGGCCGAATAAAAAATGAAAGGGCTGGTCAGGGGCCGAAAGATATCTATATAAATGACTTGTCTCACACTAGTTAGATGGATATTCTTTTCTGATTAGAATTAGTTCAGTTCCTGTGGACTGAACCAAAACTGGACCAAATATTGAAAGGTATATAGGAAGATTTTCTACTTCCAGGTGGATCATCAAGACTATTGGTCCTCCCAACTGTCAATCATTCTGGTGATTTGTGCTCGTCCAATCAGACCAGAGTTTTGTTCAAAAAGTGGAAAGGGCGGTTCTTGGGAAATCCTCCTTCATATCTTTAAGAAGAAATGTAATTGAAGACTGGTAAAAAACATAACATAACAATGCTAACTTCTAATTACATATTGGCTTAAGATTTCTTATAGACTAAAATTTGATGGTTGTTTTCTTGAGAAAGTTAGTAATGGAAAACATGCCATTGTGGCCTAATATCATCAATGCTGCTCTTTAATATAATAATCTAAAATAATCTCAGGGGCCACTGGAAATGGTCTCGCGGGCCGGATCTGGCCCCCGGACCTTACCTTGACACCTGTGAGCTAGGAGATCTAACTGTCAAACCACAATAAGCTACATTTTGTAATACAATGTCACTAGTTCCTCACTCTTTAACAAACATATATGAAATTTATAATAACAAAACTGTAAACATCTGTTCAGTCCAGGTTAAATCTGGTTTAAGTCCTGGTTTTGTTTCACTTTGTTATTTTGTTTGGACTTCAGCCAGAGCAATGTTGGCTATGTCTTTTGTATTTCCGGTTATTTAATTATCACACAAAAACAAATGTAGTTCGTCATCTCTTTTTGTTGTGTTACCAATAGCCAGGCCAATAAATATCAAAACAGAATTTACAGAAAGTATGATGAGTAAAGGTCATGTAGTAGTACGACCTGCTGTAACCAGTCCATCGTGTTCATTCATCTCAGAAACATGTGGTGACTTTGGCAAAGGAAAGCAGAAACCAGGCCAGACAACACTTGAATGTCAAATACTATTTATATACTATTACAAAAAGAACATAAAAAACAGCAACACTTTTAATTTAGCCGCAGTCTTATTTCAATATGTATCAATTACCACATTATCCCCATAATGCCAAAGAGACATTGGCCGAAGTTTCTGGCTGAGTTGCTGCTCGTCGGCAACAGATAAAGCGGAAGAAAATGGATGGAGAAACGTTTTAAATGTCTTAAATGTTTAATGTGTTTACTCTGGTCTATTTAATGTCTGTAATTTCCTCATTCCTAGTAGACTGTTTCAGACGGCTGCCCGATGGTATCGATTCTGTTATTCATTGTATATGTGCACATTTACTAAAGAACAAACTCACACTTTGATTGTATTACAGTTCTTGGTTGTTTACATTATTTTTGCTCTAGGCCTGTGCAGAAATTCCACAACAGTGCCATACTTTCTGAACCGTATAAGGCGCACCTTTATATAAAGCCTGGTTCACACGGCAGGATAATTAGGCCGATTTTGGACCCGATTTACCCCTTCGACAATCTTTAAGAACGCTCCGAATATCGTAACAAAAACTCAGATGGATTGTCCTGCCGTGTGTGGTGTCTTAAGACTGTGCTCGTCGCTCTGAAGGACTTCGGGACTGCTCCGATCTCAATATCGGGGATATCCAACATGTTGGATTGTTTTGGCCCGATTTCTCTTCGTGTGTGGTGTCCCCGGGGACAGACGAGCGCGTTGCCATGACTGCGGCGTGTAGCCAATCAGAAGACGAGACGAGGCGGCGAGGAAACACCGTAAAAAAACAACTCTCCTCCATATCACGATGTAGCAAGTACAGTCCATGCTCACGTTGTCTACACTTCTTTGACCATCGCCTTTTCTTTTGATTACGTCTTTTCTCTGCTAAAAACAAACTGTCGCCACTGCATCCTCTTCGCACGCCATGATTGTTTACTCTGAAATCACGCTTGATCTCGAGAGATTTTGTGAGATTTCCCTCTGATCTGGTAATGCTAGGGGGTGAAATCGGTTCGTGTGTGATGTGTGTGGTTTGTGTGATTTTGCCGTGTGGCTGCGCACCACACACTGTACGACCAAAGACGACCCATGATTTTTTACTGTATCTCCATGTGTGAGGTCTCACACAGAGAAAAACTCGGCCGACAATTTTAAAATCGTCTCGTGTGAACCAGGCTTAAGCTGCACCAGCAAAAGTCATTGTTGTCCACATATAGGCCGCACCTGAATATAAGCTGCAGGTGGAGAGACGACTGAGCTAGACATAACATGATTAAATGATGATGTCAATGCCGGTACTCTTTCATTGTCATCTATTTTGACAATAAGTGGGTGTCCTATAGCAAATAAAACTGGATGGAGTCATAATAATAAGTTCCTAAACTGCAGCCCAACTCACAATGAACCTACACATATTAGCCGCATCGCTATACAAGCCGCAGGGTTTAAAGAACAAGAAAAAAGTAGTGGTTTGGAAACTACAATAGCTATAATAATTGTGAAAACACTTGTCACTTAAGCAAATATCAGTGAAAACTAGTTACATGCCTATTATATATAAAAAAGGGACAAAAAATCTAATATAATACTTCTCGTGGTCCCGCTCTGATAATGAGATATAAAACAAACAAATAAAAAGCACTTTAAGTTAAATAAGAATGAGTTCTTAATGAGACGTGTAAAATTACATGACTATTGTTTTTTTTCCTGCAGATATATTTGTGACTTAAACCAACAATCATGAATTAAATCACAATTATCAATTCACCTCAGTTACCCCCAGAGCGAGACCTATACTGCACCCATCCCACTGGTCTCCTCCGCCGCACAAAAGCCTGCGGTGAAGTCTTTAAACACAACCCAGGAAGACTTCCCATTAGCACAGCCCTTATGGACGTGTTCGCGGTCTTTCTCAAACTGCTAACCTCAATTCATAAAACTCCCAACACGTAATCATGTCAAAACACCCGGCCGTAATTACAATCATCTCGTAACTATCAGCTGCGGAGACGGCTGTGATTAGAGAGTACCTTGAAGATGCCCACCCAGTCTTTGGGGTGGGGGCTGATGTAAGGGGTGAGGGTGTAGTGGCACTCCAGGGGGGCATGGGGCAGGAAGCTCTTGCCCACATTCTGGAAGATGACGTGGGCGAAGTTGGACGTCTCCATGATGCTGACGCTGCTGCCCGGAGAGGAATCCACCACCTGGAAGGAGGACATGTCTGCAGCCGGAGGCCTCAGGGGGCTGGGGGAGAGAGGGGAGAGAGGGGAGGGAAGGGAGAGAGGGGAGAGAGGGGAGGGAAGGGAGAGAGGGGAGAGAGGGGAGGGAAGGGAGAGAGGGGAGGGAAGGGAGAGAGGGGAGGGAAGGGAGAGAGGGGAGGACAAGGCTACAGTTATGAAGGGGAGAAGTCAACAAAAAGACATTTGTGTCACATATGTAGTTATACAATCAATGATGAAAAGTAACAAACAAAAAAATTCATTTATTAATATTTTAGATGTTATTAAATGTCCTCTTTTATATGTGTTGGTTTGGGCCTAGTATGTACAGCAACGATTACTTTTTCAATTGTTTTAAATTATTTCAATAGTAACTAAATATACTTTAACAATGAATAGTAAAAGCTGGGCTAGCCAACTTACTGAGCTAACAACTCAACTAAAGACAAACATTGAATAGTGTACTGCACAACACAACAGCTGAGCAAGCAGTCATGTTGTAACACAATCCTAAAGTCAGTATCACATCAAACCCAAGTCCCCCATAGTCAGCTTTATCTGTCCTGCTGCTACATTACAGTCCATGGTTACATCTCACCCAGGCTGGGAGATATTCATTATTTCTTATGTTAAAGGGATATTGGGTAGGGAATTAGGGGTATGTCATATCTTAATTTTAAATTACATCTAAAGGTTCCCTCAGATAATCCACATGTACTACACATTTGTCAACACACATTTGAAGTGTTATTCTTCATCAAAAAAACACTGGTGATATTGATACAGTATGATCCATAATATTGACACAGAGAGCAGAATGAGTCTCTGATTTGGTTTCTCCTTTGTTAGGTGACATTTAGCTGGTCCTGGCTCAATCTTTATAACCAAATTCACAAACAGAAAAGAGCACCACACATTTGTTTACATAAAAGCAGGTACAACAATAAGTAGTCTTAAATAATACACAGATTGTGTACTGTTTCCAGCAAAACCCCAGCAGGAGGATTGCATCAGCGATCAAGACTATAATGCCAAGAAGCTACATTTGTTGGATTGTGATTGTAATGAATGTATTTGACCACTAGGAGTGCATGTTACTTACATATAATTTGCTTCAGGCATTTAAACAAAGTAAAGCTTAGGGAGTTTGTACTACTAACCGTAACTAATGTAAGCTCTAACGTTATATCGGCCCTGAGAAAACAGTCGACCTGTAAATCAAACTTTTCTGTGAGCCCAGTAGTTTCTGTAGCATTATGGTTAAGAGAAAAAGATTCCAGGACATGTAAATCTATAGACTCCTTTAACAAATATGTGATATATGAGCTTTTTCAATGCCAATGTCAATGTCAGCTTTATTTGTATAGCACATTTTACAACAACACTAGCTGTGAAAAGTGCTTCACATGCGCAAAATAAACAGTAGGGATAAAGACAGATTAAAAAACACACATGCATTAACAATTTAAAACAGTGGCACTGGTGTTAAAAGCCAAGGCATACAAATGTCTCATTCGACTAGATCAGACGCTAGACAACTTTTAGTGGTCTCTAAAATGATGTTCTATTATTATTATTATTAACTTGCAGCATTGATGGTTATGGTCTACAAAGCAGTGTTATACTTATACTATTTACTCAGGAAAACAACAAAATTGTATGTATTCTAAAATGATTTTAGAATAGAATACATAAAATGTGGTTGTTTTAGTAAAATCTTAACCCAACACATCATTAGAAGTGAAACAGTGATAACTTTATATTTGGTTCAGTTTTGGTTAAGTCTAAACAATAAACACATTTTGAGAAATAGAAATAGAAAATAATTGTGAAAATCATGTCAATATGAAAAGGAAATCCCTTCTATTCTTCCCACCCTTGATCTGTTCCTGTTTTCGGCCCTGACCAAAATGAGTTTGAAATCTCTGGACAAATTGAAGAACCTCCAATGAAGAACCTACTCTAATATACATAACAACATGATAACCACACAATCCTCTCATCCTTGTGTTTTAGCTTGTATTATAACTAAATGTATTTGTGATGTAAGGCAACCTTGAGTATCTAGAAATGCTCCTTTAATTATCGTTATTATTATATTGAGGTAAGCATTTAACATCTATGAATATTTAGCCTTGTGAAGTTGTCCAACCCCCATCTCTGAACTCACATGACAGCAGTGACGTTTCATTTTAGTATTTAAAGAGTGTGGCACATTTCAGGCAGGAGCTGATGTGAAGAGGGCCATCCTCTGTCAGCTGTCACCATCTACCTACTAGTTATCGATGAGCAAGTATAAAATCCAACTGCATGTACACAATCCTCAATGAAACCCTCTGAACGCAGACCAGGCGCTAACAGGAGCCACGCCAGCACCTGTCACATATCACCCACGGCACCAAACATGTGCATCTGTCCACACAACATCGGGATAACAGCGTGTTCACTCAATCTTATAAACTAGCCTTCAGCTGTTAGCATTAGCCTCTCAGGCCGTGTGCTGCTGTGAGCTAGCAAAACATTAGCATCGCCGCGTAAAGACACAAGCTGTACCCATGTCATAGAGAGCGTGCCCGGGTGGAGGTGTGGTCCTCTGCGGGGGTCTCTGCGGGGGTCTCTGCGGTGGTGTCTCTCTCTGTCCTCTTGTTGTGTCTGTGTGATGATGATGATGGGGATGAGTCTGCTGCTGCTGGAGGAGGATGCGACACTTCCGGGGTGAAGCTGCGAGCGCGAGGATGCAGCGCACGTGAGCTTGTTGTTAAAGCGGGGGTACTTAACTTTCAAACCATAAAAAACAACTATTTGATATTCCATGTGACTAGTTCCTGGCGTCAAAACAGGCAAAAGCAACACCGCGCTCAGCCCAAAGTGTTCAACAGGCTCTTTCTTCTATTTTCTAATGAGATAAAGACATTTTACTTGTGTTATGACCATAGACTGATTATACCATGATTGCAGTATATTATTGGTGTATATATGGTTGTGCTACAAAAAGGTTATGACACAAAAAAGGAATTAGGTTGAGTGTCCCAGCTTTAAGATAAAATAGAAATATCATAATTCATCTGTCTTTTACACATGTATATCTTCTGACAAAAATGACTAAAAGAAGAAATATGGTGCATTGTTTACCATGAAAAAACAATGAGACTATTTGTTTACTTCATCATATCTTGTTTTAGAATGTGAAAAAATACTTTAGAGATTTCATGACACTTTGAAGAAACTGTGGTTAAAGTTCTAATTCATCATTCTAATATATGCACAAGGCAGGACTTTTCCATTGTATGCTTTTGTTTCTGAAGGCCAAGCTACTGGCACTGTGGAGATAGCTGATTGGAGGACTCCATTCCTCCATGCTGTAAAATATCACTTGCATTCTGTAACATCTTTGTTCGGGCTGTCTCTACCATTGACAATAAAACATGTCTTCTGTCAAAATTAAAGACACAATCCTAAACTTTGTCATCTTCTTCAATACCTCTAGCAGAAAATAAATGGGGAAATATGTATCAAGGGGAGAAAATCAACCTGTCCTTTACATGTTACCAGAGGGAGGGGTAGAATTAGCTTTATTTATTTTACAAACATTTTCTTTCAGGCTGCATTCTACAGTCATGCAATCTTGAAAGCTTGAAAGTTCTGACTTCCCTCTCAAAATAATGGGAATGAATCCTGCTCGATTCAGAAATTTAACTTGGAAACTTGGGCTGGATCACTGGAGTTCCTGTGTTCATCCAAAAAATAGAGACAAACTAAAAGAGCAAAGTAAACAAAGTAAAGTTTTTAAGCCCAAAACCAATAAAACATTGTATTCAAGGCTGCAAAAGCTTTGCAGAAATATCTAAGACTGTACATGTGAAAGCAATTTTCATGACAAGGAACAACAAATTGTATCCCGTTTTTCTCATATCACAGCAGTTATGGTTTCTGTTCTTTCTACTGAATAATATTTTTATTTTTATTTTTTTGCTGCATGTTTGTGTGTCTGTCCGCAGTATATCTGCCACTGTCCACTTTTTTGAAGGTTTCTGAAAATGCTCAAAAAAGTGAATTTAGCAGAATGTCTTAAGTATTTTAAGTACACTTAATAAAATGTAAAAAATACTACATGTATACTTGGATACAAATAATATTCAATTTCTGAAAACAAATAAAATAACTTTCGACTGAAGAATCAATGGTGGCATTACATTTGACCCTAGCTGACTCCTCATCCTTAATCCCAAATATTTACTTTTACTTTATGACACATGTACAAAAAACGTGCACTTCTATACCATCCTCGCATTCCACACACAAGATTTTTAACACACATTTGCATTTTGCTTAAATTTAGCTAACTTCATATAGAAAAAGATACATTTTAATAAGCAAGAACGGATCTATTTGTCCATGATTCAAATGTTCTAGTTTGGATGCAGCCAGGCCATTATCAGGCTGTGGGAGGTTTGTTGTGCTAGGAACAAGAAGTCCCGCCTCTGCGACTATCCTGCTCTGTGATTGGTCAGCAGACTATCAATCCGAGCCGTGGCTTCCTGACAGCCGCTGAGGTCAAGGGGAAAGCAGCATGGCCATGGCTCTATTCCGGGGCTCCCGCACGGCTCTCTTCGGCTGGAACAAGCATGTGGACTGTGCATTCGGTAACGTATCTACCCCCGCCACGCACCACTGCCACGGTCCGCATGTGTCCGCAAACAGCGCCCGATGCTAAAGCTAGCCTGTGTTAGCTTCATTAGGTACACAGTCTGGAACCTAATCGATCCCAGATGCCCCGACACCTGCGGATTTATCTGCGGAAGGAAGTAAACCTGCAAACATACTGTGCAATATAGAGCACCATTAAATCTGGGGTGCCTAACTTTTGTTCATGAATAATACAGATTTTTTTTCTCCAGCACTAAGGTTTGTCAAAGTAAAATATTGGGAACAAAACAGACCACAGACCTTTTCATCTGATTAGATGACATGATATAATTTGTATACTTGTAGAAAAGACTATATTCACATTTCTGTCTGAGATGGCTGAACTAAAGATGTCTTAGACCAAACATACATGAATGTGAATATTAGTGATGAAAGTGTGTGAAATCTGTTTTAGAGGCAGGAACTAGTTACATGGATTGTTTTCTGTGTCTTGTAAGCTAGATACTCTGGCTTTAAATGTATTTTAATGTTTTTCGGTCTGATCACGGCTCATTCGCGTGGCAGTATCATGTGAAAGACTTCATTTTAGGTTGTTTTGTTTTGTGCCTGAAAACATGATATATGTCCCTCTAGGAAGTCATAGTGAAATGATTCCTTCACTCCATACACAGTGGTGATAAACTACTACTGTAGCCACAGATGCCCTAGGACAATCTGACATAAGCAAGGCAACCAGTGTGTATCATCGGCCCCTCTGACCACCACCAACCATTCACACACACCAGACTCATTCTAATGTGGGTGAAGTGTCTTCCCTAAGGACACAAGAGCAGTTTGGCACTTTACAGCCGCAGGCACCCCACTGTTGCACCGGGTGTTACCAGAGGTCTCCTATCACAGAACTAACCAGGCCCTGCCCGGCTTAGCTTCAGAGGTCTGGCTTTCCCATTAACAGGCATACATGTTCAAATGTCACGTGTCATGTGTATGTGTGATTGCATGGTTTTATCGGAATGACATTGTTTACCTTTTTAATGAAAGTTTGAATACAGATGACTTTGATTAGTGAGGGACTGGTGGATTCCAGAAATTACTTTTATTTACCACTTGAACGCTTTACCAATATTGCAATATTGGGATCTGGCTCCAAGATAATCAAGATATAATTATTTATTCGTATTACTTCCACCTTTTAGTAAATACAAATTGTAATATTTAAAGAAAAAGATTTAAACTTTGCGCCAGAAGAACCAAAATTTTTTACTTGTCGGTATATAAGGAATGTGAATGAGGAATGTATCGTTATATTGTTTCACAGGAATCTGTGGGTCACAAAATGCTGTGCTGTAAGCTATAGGCAAGTTCACCATTTAAGCCCAAAGTTCATTCCCTCAGCTGCTGCCCCTGTTTACACTTACTGAAGTAGTATCATGGATATTGCAGAATACAGATTAGGCGTGTTGCTACCTGTGACTTATGAGAATGTCTCCTTGTTTGTGGTGGTACTTGTAAATATATATACAAGCCTCATGATTGCGACCAATTAGGGTTGTTCAGAGAATACAGTTTAGAGCACTGAAGCTAGTACCGATGCTAAATCTAATACTATTAGATACTAATAATATTTGCATAAAAATGATACATTTTCAACTAAATAAAACCCTATTAGCCCCAAGAGAACATTTATACATTATTCCCATGGTATTGAGAATTACACTACAACACTACAACTAATGAAGTTTTAAAGATGTTTTCAGTTCCACCCAAGCTAATATCAGGAATGTCCCTTGCCCGCGAATGTCTAAAGGCTCTGGTTTTACATTAGTTTTTTCCCTAATAATCTGTATCAGTAATATCTGTAAGAAAGACTGCACGGCTCTGCGGCTGCACTACTTTTATATCCTTCCCTACGAATCATACTTTTGTCTAAAATTTACATGTGTGTTTTAAAAGGTAATAGATTACTAAAGTAATCTATAAATGCAGCCCTATATTTTGTATTATATATATATATATATAAATATAATTATTTTTATCTCCTCAGTGGAAACCTGTTTAAGGGCCTAAACAAACATAGTAATAATGCATGATATTTACTGTTTAATGCAGTGTACTGAGGTCTTGGTTTGCACCACAGGGTGTGTGCGGACCATGGCCTCCAAAACTCCTGTGGGCTTCATCGGGGTGGGGAACATGGGAACCCCTATGGCCACCAACCTGCTGAAGAACGGCTACCCGGTCATCTGCACAGACGTGTTCCCCGAGTCCTGTAAGGAGCTGCAGGACATGGGCGCACAGGTAATAGGCCACACAGTATTACACGTTATCACTATTTATTACACGGCTCCTCACAGCAGCAGTAACGTTCCATTGATTTGAATGTAATTTCAAAACGTTCTACCGGTCATTATTTTCTACAACGGACTTCTCAAAACAATAATGACCGCTGCCCATGGCAACGCACTCTCTGCTTGTATTTCAAATGCGTGGATTACTCCGCAAGTAGTTCCGGCCACTCCGGAGCTAGCCACGCTCAATAAACGCAAATACCAATCAATCAACACACTTAAATGTTAATCGGAGAATACTTATACATATACATTATTCACACACGTGTGCGGAGATTTTCAGAATTTACTGCTCTTGTCTTCATGACAAAAATAGTATGTATCTGCGTCAAAAAGCGATCATGAAAACCCGAAAGTAGTTCCAGCCACTCCGGAGCTAGCCACGCTCATTAAACGCGAATGCCAATCATTCAACGCAATTAAATGTTAATCGGAGAATACATTATACATATACATTGTTAATACAAGTGCACGGAAGTTTTCAGAATTTTCCGTTTACGTTTTCATGACAAAAACACTGATGTAATGCGAGAAAAGGCGATCACGAAAAACCCGGAAGTTGATACCAGCACATTTTAGGAACATTTGCAGAGGATCGAATTATGGATTTAGGTTAGGTTTATGTATGGGTCACTCACCGCTGATGTTCAGAATTCTTTGTTCAGTTTTCTTGCAGTTCCAGGGAGTTCTAGTTTGGAAGTTGATAGCCTAACTGTTCCTAGCATAGCCATGGGAAAGTCATAGGGAACTATTTTATTTTCTTTCTTATTTTAAATAAACCTTTGCGCATTCCTAAAAGTGGACTGAAGTTTATGTTGTGTGTTCTGTTGGTATAAAGCCGTATAATAAGCGGGATAACGTATATTATGCAGGTCATTATCGGAAAATAAGTACCTTCAGGGCGGAGGCGGACCGCTTCGCCCTGTCCGTACTTATTTTCCGATAATGACCTGCGTACTATACGTTATCGCTTACATAGTGCACTTCGAATAAGGAACCTGGAGTTATCAAGCGTAATAAATAATTTGTACCATTTCTAGCTAAACGGGTGGTTGTCATCTGGAATCAGTACTTAGGAAAAGCATTATTCTGTTATACAAACATTGTTCAACCCAGGATCTGGGAAAGTGAAGAGTATGACACAACTGAAAAGCCAGTTTGGGTAGAGTGCTGTGTATAACAGCTCAAAGGCCTGTTTAAGGGGATATATTACATTTGACTATTTATGATATCAGTCTGTTGTTTTGGCTGTATCCGCTACTGATGGTCACCTGAATTTTATTTTTTAACTACTCTATTATACAGAATCTTGTCGGTCTGTGTGTAACGACAGTTGTGTTGTGCAGGTGGTAGACACTCCGGCTGACGTGGCAGACAAAGCAGACCGCATCATCACAATGCTGCCCTCCAGTCCCAATGTGATTGACGCGTACATGGGAAACAACGGCATCCTCAAGTAAGCTGCTGCGCTCTCTCATCCTTTCTCCCATAATGAATTCATCCTCATGTATGTCCAGGTAACCACACACACAAATGTTTTCTCAAACAGCAAAACTACAGAGTAAGACACAAGGATTCATTTAAATTTAAGAATCCTAAACAAATATTATGTTGAAAGACTGTTGGTAGAAAGACTTGCTGAAATTTTAAAACTTGCAAACAAATAATAGAATTACATGGACAGAATCAAAATAACAAAATCCTCTGGCTCCAATTGTCTGGTCCCTGTAGGAAGGTGAAGAAAGGCACCCTGCTGATTGACTCGTCAACCATCGACCCGTACGTGTCCAAGGACATGGCAGTGACGGCGGAGAAGATGGGGGCAGTGTTCATGGATGCCCCGGTGTCCGGAGGTAAGCCACACAGCCACTGCGGTGTCACCACAGACACTACGCAACAGCATGGTTAAAATCATGAATGATGATTTTTAGGTCACGGCCCACTTGTGTCTAGAGCGTAATTTTGCATAAACACAGTCATTAGGAACTTGGAATAATCAAAGCCGATACAGCTGTGACAATGAGATGTGCATACTGAGTCGGAGAAATGCAATAACAACAAATGCTCCACTTATGGTTTGTGAACAGATGTCTTCGTGTCACATAGTGGACTCCGACATGAGGCTCAGGCAGTGCAGGCGACCTGCCTGAGCCTCATGTCTTAAGGACAAACCATTTCAGGGTATGGGGTGCCCTCATTTGAATGTGAGACCAACTTGACGCACTTTTAATGGATCTGTCGGGTGGAATGGGCAAGAATTACATCCAACATTTGTAAAGAATCTTGTGGACGGCTAACAAACATTGAATTATGAATAATGATGCTTACTACTTATAGTGCTCGAAGAAGATTCACATGTTCCTGGTGGTCATAAGCCATGTTGCCACAGCTGCCCTGGGTCTGACTGACAGAAGCGTGGCAACCAGCACCAATCTTTAACACACACCAGAGTCGTAGTCACAATTTCCCATTACTGTACTGACCAGGCCCAGCCCTGCTTAGCTTCTGAGATTGGGCAGGCTTTCACATACAGGCGGAGCTACAAGTTTGAGAAACAATTTCATGACAATTCGACAATACTAGCGAGATTAACGGCTCATTAACCAAGCGCGAGGTCTGTACATTAAGGCCAAGGTCTGATATTTCTCTGTACAGACCGAGCAAGCAAGGTTACTTACAGCACCTTACAAAACGTTTAACACCTTGCAACACATTAAGCACTTTACAACACTTTCAGCACCTTACAACACATTCTTCTTACCTCATCTTCATCTTTTTCACTTCACCATCTTCTTCTTCCTCTTCTTCCTCTTCTTCCTCCTCTTCCTCCTTCTTCCCCTTCCTCTTCCGTCTTTCTTCTTCCTTTTTCTTCCTTCTTCCCCTTCCTCTTCCTTCTTCATCTCTAACCCTTCCAACATCTATGCATTCACTCACAATAGCTTCAGCCATTGTACCATTTCTAGTTATTCTTTCACTCCATAGACAGTGATTATAAACAACTACTGTAGCCACAGCTGCCCTGGGGCACACTGGCTACAATGTGGCCCGTGTGCCTCCTCTGCATACATGGATAGATAGAAAGCTTCTTTATTGATCCTGTAGGAGGAATTCAGGTGTGCAGCAGCAGTAGTTAGTCAGCATTGTTTGTTGTACAGTCTGACAGCAGCAGGAAGAAAAGACCTGCGGAACCTCTCCTTCACACATCGAGGATGAGGTCATGGTCCACGTAGATGTTAGTTTGATGTTAGGTCAAGGACCTTCCAGTCCCCCACCTGCTGCATTGTGTCGAGGGAACAGCCCAGGGCATAGCTGGACACATCAGCCATCCATACCAACAAATTAATTCATCATTCTAAAATTATGTATTTAATTAAGTGTAACAGAGTCCACTTGGTTCGGACCATTTTCTCTCCTCTGGTTCAGAGTGAAATTCTGAATTCATGTGTGCCTCCTCTGCATACATACATGTGACCTCATCATGGCTCCTCTCCCTTTATACATGTGACCCCAGCCTCCTCTACATACACACATGTGACCCCAGCCTCCTCTACATACACACATGTGACCCCAGCCTCCTCTACATACACACATGTGACCCCAGCCTCCTCTGCATACATACATGTGACCTCAGCCTCCTCTGCCTATATACATGTGACCTCAGCCTCCTCTGCATACATACATACATGTGACCTCAGCCTCCTCTGCATACATACATGTGACCTCAGCCTCCTCTGCATACATACATGTATGTAGTAGTGTTTATTTCGAATTACATGCGCAATACAAAACAAAACAAAAGAAGAAACATATATATGCACAATTCGAAAAGGAGTAGGTAGAAGTGAAACTTATGCTTCCTACCCCTTGTTACAAACTTTTCTCTTTACAGGAGTTCAAATGATATACAGGCATATTTCTCTCAGATATACAATTTACACTCGTCTCCATGAATAGTAATTTTAAATGCTGATTTCGTACCAATGATGTTCTTAGGTCTTGTTGTCACTTGTCACTTTTTGCCATTTTTACCCAAAGCTGTTTATTTAATGTTAACATGGTTATGTATGTAGACCCTACATAGTGCAGTGCATTAAAAACAGTGGGTAGAATGAGCCAGTCGAGAGAAGGTAATAGCCCCCACTCAACCCGCCCCACTCCCAACCTCCCTGACCAATGGAAATGTAGGAAAATTTGCGTTGTATATTCTTGCTGTGTGGTGCGTTAAAAACGAGGTGTTGAGGCCGCTTGGCAAGAGGGAGCCCGCCAATCCAACCATATCTCGTCTGCTCTGATTTACTTGCATCTGTTTAAGCAGTAATGGCAATCACAACATGACAACTTGTTTTCCTGCACTATAGATCTTGGTCATGTGCTATTCATGGTTAAGAGTTGTCCATTGCATCTAAAACATGTGACCTCAGCCTTCTCTGCATACATACATGTGACCTCAGCCTCCTCTGCATACACACATGTGACCTCAGCCTCCTCTGCATACATACATGTGACCTCAGCCTCCTCTGCATACATACATGTGACCTCAGCCTTCTCTGCATACATACATGTGACCTCAGCCTCCTCTGCATACATACATGTGACCTCAGCCTTCTCTGCATACATACATGTGACCTCAGCCTCCTCTGCATACATACATGTGACCTCAGCCTTCTCTGCATACATACATGTGACCTCAATCTCCTCTGCATACATACATGTGACCTCAGCCTTCTCTGCATACATACATGTGACCCCAGCCTCCTCTGCATACATACATGTGACCTCAGCCTCCTCTGCATACATACATGTGACCTCAGCCTTCTCTGCATACATACATGTGACCTCAGCCTTCTCTGCATACATACATGTGACCTCAGCCTTCTCTGCATACATACATGTGACCTCAGCCTTCTCTGCATACATACATGTGACCCCAGCCTCCTCTGCATACATACATGTGACCTCAGCCTCCTCTGCATACATACATGTGACCTCAGCCTTCTCTGCATACATACATGTGACCTCAGCCTCCTCTGCATACATACATGTGACCTCAGCCTCCTCTGCATACATACATGTGACCTCAGCCTTCTCTGCATACATACATGTGACCTCAGCCTCCTCTGCATACATACATGTGACCTCAGCCTCCTCTGCATGCATACATACATGTGACCCCAGCCTCCTCTGCATACATACATGTGACCTCAGCCTCCTCTGCATACATACATGTGACCCGGCTAAGTGCTGCTTAGTGCCTCAGTGTGGGCCAGAAGGACACTCGTTATGACTGAGTGCTCTGGGACTTTTTACTGCTGCCTCTGACCACAGTCTGGAGACGAGCTGAAGGGTTTGAAGCCTCATTACGATGACGCTGCCCTGACACCGCCAGGACCCCTCCTCTCTCTAATGGTCCGAGCCGCGCCGTGCCGGACAAGCCCACGTCAGGCCGTTTCATGTTGATGGAGCCGTAATGGCGGCCGCCCCCCTGCCAGCGTCTTTCATGTCAGATAAAGAGCCATAAAAGAGCAGGCCTCACAGCCCAGCGGAGGAGAGCAGACCTGATAAGAGACGAACAAGACGAGACAGCGGCTGTAAAAGTGTCCGTCACCGCGCCTCGTTCTCCATAAAGTGGCCTGAAGCCTGAGCATGATGGATCTTTAGTGGCTTCACACCAGTCTAGAGCTGCTCCGAGTTCTCTGCTTTTTGTGGACTAATTGCTTAACCCTTAATAGACCACTGCTGATAAGTTCATTCTAATTCTAATCATTTCAACATAAATTTAAGCTGGGGTCCCTAACTTTCATTTCATTAACAATTTCACTATAACTATAACTACTCCATGTCACTAGTTCCTCGTTCTCAGTACAGCAGATCTATCTATATACATTTTTGGCCTCTGTCACATCTTTAGATCAGCTTTTCCAGACTAAAAAGTGAAAAGAAGAGCACCCCCATCAGTTCTCAGCCCATAGCTTCAAATAGTGACTCTGGGATCTTTCTTACAAGCATTAAACAAGTTTTCTAATGAGCTTAAGACAGCGTGTAGTTCATAACATTGTATTCTTATAAGACTCTCTCAATTGAGACAAACAACCATTAATCCTGAAATGTTGCTTTGCTGATAATATTCTGAATCCAGTACTTTTAGTCGAACAGTTAATACATACTATTCATTAGCCTGGTCGTACCACACCATAGTACAAATGACATTTTGTACTAAGGTCTGGAGGTGCTCCATTGAGCTCTGTTTACAGGTGGGAGAGGTTAACTCCTTTTGCAGATTGAAACGATTGGATCTGAGTTTACTGTGACGTATGTAGTGTTGGGCACGTTACTTTGAAAAAGTAATTAGTTATAGTTACTAGTTACTTTTCCCAAAAAGTAATTGAGTTACTAACGGAGTTACTCCACTATAAAAGTAACTATTGCGTTACTTTTTTGTTTTGTTCTGGAACATAATGTGCACTCGAGGTGCTCATGTTGACCTTTAACTATGAAATAGTGCTGATATTTCCATCTAGAAAAGGCTGTTTTGCTGCTGAAGTCCTGTTCACTCTTCATCTCTCTCTGTGCTGTAAGCACTAAACACCAACACCCGCCACTGTGAATGTGGAAACACCGGTGAAGCACTGACTTCAGCCCAATCAGATGAACATATATATCATATAAATCAACTGGACAGTTTGTTTGGCTACAGCAGAATATGTTTCATGCATTGTTTGTTCAAACAAAACACAAAACTATGAGTTATGGGTCTTACTTTATAAATGACCTGCACAGGCCACTTCGGTTCAGACCAGTTCCGTGTTTAAGTCCAGATAATAGTTTGAGCGTAGATATGTAATCCTCCATTTGGAAATGAGTCCAATGAGTTTTAAAAAGTAAAACAAAACGCGTGTGTCCTCCATAAACTCCTCTGTTTTGCTGCAGCCGGCTGCATCCAATTTCTAAAATCAACCGTCTTACACTTCACCTCTCATCATTCCTATAGTCATTGAAAAATTACCCTAAATGCATTTTAAATTATCTTAAAATGTGTTATATGTATGTTAGCCAAACCTGTTGCTGCCCTTAGCAGATAAACCAGGAAGAGAAAGGAGCTTATCGATGGAATTGTATGCAGCCGACTTCTGCGCTCACATGCGCTCCTCTGAGGCTGGCCTCACGGTGATACAAGCCGTGGTTGAGCGCAATTAAGACCAATATTTGTTTCAAAAACATAATTTATGACCATCCTCTCAACTGTAGACATTGTAAAGGAAATATGTTTTACACCAGCCAATAATTGCTGAGAGGTTTTCTCATCCTCCCTTCTCTCATGACAACACGCGCACGAGTCCCATCACGAAGTAAAAAGAGAAGTTTGTTGTGCGTCTTGAGTAACGCGCAGTAACGGGATGTTAATGATAACGGCGTTATAGTTACAGTCAAAGTAACTAGTTAGATTACTCGTTACTGAAAAAAGTAACGGCGTTATTCCCATCCCTGGACGTATGCAATGTGCCCGAGTCTGTTGTTAGCATTTAGCATTTAGCCCAGCCATCTCCTTTGCCACTAACGGAGCCCGTGGGGAGTAGCGCCACAATTTTTCCAGTGATTACATTTGCTAAACATTCCTCTTGCTCCGGCTTCAGTTTCTTGATAAAACCAGACTGGATTACTTAACTATTGCATTTTTCGCAATTGCCAAACCACAGCCTTCCCGTTCAAGGCAAACTCTTGACGTCACCCACAACTAACTACAACACCTGCCTTCCGCACTCTCTGAATGGTCGGTTGAAATTCAACCGATTGTAATCGCTAGCATAGGGACCAGACCCAGACGTTACATGCAGTGAAATGATTGAACGGAGTGTACGGATGGCTAAGGCCAGGCTAACTATTCATAGGCCTTCATGGGTTTTCACTCAGTTTTGTTCATCTCGGATGCCAGCCAGTTTTCTACACAACAGACATTGTACCATGTTTAAAAAAGCTATAGTGTCATGGACCAACATGAATCAAATAATGCCTTATATCTGTTCTTTAAAGTCAAGACATCTATTGGAATCAGCTCAAGTTGAAGCACTAATGTCTCCTCAAACGGTTGAAAGCCAGTCAGCAGTAGAACATGTGACTGTGTTTGGAGATCACAGGCTACTGCTCCTCTTTGCACACATACTGTACAGACATGAGCTTTTTACACCACTGCCCACATGTGCCACCATCCTCCGAGGGACACAGCACCCAACACAGGGCCACATACTATCCATCATCATCCTCATTAAAAGACATATCATATAAGATTTTCTTTATTTTGAGTGTGTAACCATATTACAACAATGTGTTTTGACTCCATCCATGCTAATATCTGCACCAATGGGTCCCTCCTCCTGCCCATTCTGTCCAAATGCTCATTATTCAAACCCCCCATTTGGGCAGATCTTCAGACTATGACGTCATAACGGAGCATTCAACTGGACTCCGTTCACTTCAGAGGCAAATGCAACAGTCCTCATATGTCGCTGAACTGCAGAAGAATAATTTAACTGATTTCACTAGTGGACATGTGTTCACTTGTTTGGTGGTTTCACATCTCCCCAAATGAAGTAAAGCAGTGAAGCAGAATTGGTCCCATTAAAGTGAACTCCAGACTGACGCCATGTTGAGTTCAAATCTATATCATGTGGTATGTAAATTCTACCTGTATTGTTGGCCCTTTCTCGTTAACCTTTTCTACGTTTATCCAGGGATTTACATTTGAATGGTATTTCTTTCATATTATTAAACATGACATTCCAAAGGTATTTTTTTCCAGACCTTGTTTAAGCCTTCTTAAAGCTGCACTAACTGACTTTGGGACTTTGAAGCCATGGACTCGCTGGCCTCGCTCTTTCTGCTCCCCTCCCCGCACCCACGAAGCTATCTCCCCCCACACACACTCACTGTTGGGACGGAGCTATCGTCTCCCAATATGGATAATACATGGATTTGCATGTGGATGGCGTGACCATAGAACGATAGAACCGGGAAGCACGGAGGAACGGAACTTTCTTTTGGATGGCTGTCTCGCTGTGTAAGCAGTAACCGGTGACGAAGACGAGAAAGTTTCAGGTTAGCTCCGCCGCTTGTTGTGCTAACTCAGCTGTCTATGCTAACAGGGACCTGTAGATTTCTCACGAAAGTGGGGGCCAGTGGTCCGCTGTGATTGGTCACAATCTGTGACCCGAAACACATTCTCTTCCTTGTTTCATCAAAACTCGATCTAAAATATATTGTCACGCCAGCACAAACCTGCGCTACTTTTTCTTCAAAAGGACGTATATCCCAATGCACTACATGAACATGGATAGCACTTTCGTAATGAATACATAAATAAAGTCAGTTAGTGCAGCTTTAAAGCTGCACTAACTGACTTTGGGATTTTGAAGCCGCGGACTCGCTGGCCTCGCTCTTTCTGCTCCCCTCCCCGCACCCACGAAGCTATCGCCCCCCACACACACACAGTGTTGAGACGGAGCTAGCCTCTCCCAATATGGATAATACATGGACATGGATTTTCACGTGGATGGCGTGACCATAGAACGATAGAACCGGGAAGCGCGGAGGAACGAGACTTTCTTTTGGATGGCTGTTTCGCTGTGTAAGCAGTACCCAGTGACGAAGACGAGAAAGTTTCAGGTTAGCTCCGCCGCTTGTTGTGCTAACTCAGCTGTCTGTGCTAACGGACCTGGAGATTTCTCACGAAAGTGGGGGCTAGTGGTGCGCTGTGATTGGTCACAATCTGCGACCCGAAACACATTCTCTTCCTTGTTTCATCAAAACTCGATCGAAAATATAATGTCACGCCAGCACAAATCTGCGCTACTTTTTCTTCAAAAGGACGTATATCCCAATGCACTACATGGACATGGATAGCATTTTCGTAATTAATACGAAAATAAAGTCAGTTAGTGCAGCTTTAATATATTTCCTGCATGCTAGCATAACACAATATCAAATGCAGATTCAGTTTCATTTTATTTACCATTTGCAGTAAAACCACATTGGAATGAATCCGCAATCCCCTGTGTGCACAAGAAAAGTACATAAATCAAAAAAAAGTTAAAAGTACAGAAATAAAACAAACAAAACGGGAAACAATTGTCACTGTGATATTGATCAACTAAAACCGTTTCAGTTCAAGTGCAAGCTCATTTAAAGTGGCTTGTTTAATCTGGTATTAACTTGTGGAAAGAAGTTGTTGGCAAAACGAGTCCTGCATCTCAGCGATCTATATCTACTTCCAGAGGGAAGAAGCTGGAACATGGCTTTTCCAGGGGCCAGAAGAGTCATGGATTAGCTCACAGTCCTCTTTGCAGAGCGGAGCACCTTGTTTAGAGCTCTTCTTTCTTTGGCTCTGTGATGTTACCAAACCACACAGTTGCAGAAGCAACAATTGAAAGTTTTTCAATGGTGCAGCGATAAAAGTAAAGTGAAGCACAATCCTGAGTGTGCAATGTAAAAGTCACACACCAGAGCTCTGGCTGCGGTGCCCTGACTCGGCGCCATCTTGCGCAGCGGATCCCTCACCTATCCTTTTTATCTGCTGTAAATCAGCCTAAATGAAATAGTTTTGTCTGGCTGGTCTCTGGTCCGGTTTCGTCTTTGCTGTAGAAACAGAAAGTTA